CCCCCCCCCCCCCCCCCGCCCCCCCCGGTGTTTGCCATCGGGGTTGGGTTGTCGTCGCGTGGCAGCGATGTTGTAAAACAAGCCGATCACTTGGTGACCTCGGCAACCAGGTTGCCGCTTTATTTTTCCTCTGTTTTTTTTTTTGCGGTAACCATGCATGGTGGTCGAATAGATTATGTTGTGCGGGGTCGAGAACCCCCACTCCGTGCAAAGGAGATAATCGCAACACGTTGTGTTAAAATGGTCAAGCATCCTCGAGGCAGTTACACAGCAGTGCTTACAACTGTCTCTGGAAGTGAAAGCACCAGAAAATAAATTAAGCCACACGCAGCTGTCATCCGTACGCAAGGAAGTAAGCACATGATGCCGAACACCCTTAGCAGGATGCAGCGCACCCTTCATGCGCCTCGCCGAATACCTCACGGCGCTTCGCGCTTGGTGATGTGAGAGCCTGGTCCGGTGAGAACCCGGCGTGCTCCGTCCCGGCTTTGTAGGGATGCGAGGTCAATGATCTATAACGACTACGGCATGCACGACTCGGCTTTGTAGGGATGCGAGGTCACTGGTCTAACGACTACGGCATGCACGACTATGAGTACCTCCCCCCCTCCCCGCCCCTATCCCACGCCCAACCGTGACATTTTCCCATTCGCCGTCTAGGTTATCGGCAGCCGTCGTGGCCCCGACCCAGGACGGCCCAACGCAGCAGATCTCGGAGGTCACCACGGCGCAGATCAACGTGGTTCTGCAGGAAGATTTCGCCCCATCCTACAAGTGGCAGCAGGTCTACCCCTGGCAGAGCGTGCCGCCGGGGCTCGAAGTCCAGCTCCCCCTTGACGGCGTGGGGCAGAAACGGGCGCGCGTGCCGCCCTCCTGGAGGCTGCAGCTGTACGTCCCGGAGGAGAGCGGGGGCGGGTTCTTTGTGAGGACGGACTTGCGGGCGGGGAGCACGGTGCTCGAGCTTCGGCGAGAGATAGCGCGGCAGCCGAGGTTCGGGGGGGGGGGCGTCGAGCGCGTGAGGCTTTCGCTAGGGGGGAGGGTGCTCGGGGACGAGGAGACGGCGGAGGGGTTGGACCTCTTCAACCGCCAGAGGGAGCTCGTCGCTTTGGTCGACCGGAGGCCAGGCACGCCGCCGCCGTGAGTTTTTCGTTTTGGATCATGCTGCCACCTCCTGGCATCATGCGGTTGGTCCTAGCCCGTTGTTGATAATGCGTTGTTGTTGGTGTCTGTCGTGAACGAGCGCGCGGTCTGTTTCTTTGGAAGTGGCCCAGTTGAGCATAGACGGTGCTCTGTACTTCTCATTCGCCGACATGGGTGGTGGTGCTTCCGCACGTTGCGAAGGTGTGGCCCCGGAGACAACTCAGCCCTCACCAGGGCATATGTATAGGTAAATGTTGGGTCACGGCTGCATTGTCAATTGCTCTACTGGGGAGGAACTTGTGGTAGCACGGTGTGGAGGAACGTGGGGGAATTGGGGGATAGATGTAAAATCACCAATATTCCAAGAATGCCGACGTGACTCTTCCGCTCGTGCTATTTGTGAAGTTGTTCGGTTGCCTGCGTTGTGCTAGAACGAACGTGGGGCTTGAAGTATGATAGAAGTATGTATCAATGCATTTGGTTCGACCCCCACGAAGACTCTTGTGGTATTTTTCAGTGTTTTTTTTGCCAGAGCAGTAAACAATCTTGGTCGGTCCTTGACAGCAACATGTGAATGACCTCTGAAGTGTTGGGAAAGTAGTTGGTGGATTGCCTCTGTATTTTGTGGTTTTGGCGAGAACGAAACGCGAGCCGCGTACTGCGTCGAAACTGGCACAGCAGTTTTCCACCGGATGACTATTTTTGTAGAGTAATATGCATGATGCATAGACACAGCGGAAACATTGCTTAGCATCACGTCAGTATAGATTGAAACGGGTTTGTCGTAATGGGAATATGTGTTTACTCGTGAGGGTAGGGCTTGAGATGTTTAGTCTTCCGCGCCATTATTTAGTGCTCTGCTGCGTCTTCGATACGGGTGCCTTCAGAAGTGAAATCGGCATGATGACAGGATACTTTCATGCGTAGGTTCAGGTTCCGTTAAGTTTGAGTTAGTGCGCCCACAGGACCGATTGAAGATAGTTGCCAGAGGACAGCAGCAGTGGTTGCGCCGGTCGTGCATACGCCAAAGCTGGCGAGATAAAAAGGTTCTCCAGCTGGAAAACGCCTCCCAGAACCACACCCTACAACGCCTCATTTGAATTGAACGGGTCACACCGCCGCAGCAACAACGGCTGCATCCGCTTGAGACCTATGGCAGCAGTAGCCGCGCACGTAAAACAGCAGCAGACAACCCACATGGACATGGATGATGTGGACGACGTAGTTTGGAAATGTTGCAGTGTAATCGAGGTACATTGATTTGCCAGTGCTAGTGTACCGTATACGACACAAGATAACACACCCCCTCGACCGATTTTGAAAGCTCGATTTATCAACAGCAGAAAGAGTCGCAGCGCCGAAAACGGGGGCGTTGAAGCTGTCTGGTCGAGAGCTCTCCGAAAGTGTATCGTTTCGTTTATGCATCTTCTTCGTCGTGGCGTAGTCGAGCTTTGAAAATCGGTCCAGGGGGTGTCATCTTGTGTCGTATACGGTAGTCGAGGACGTGTCTTAGTGTGTTTTAGGGGGGAGAGCGTGGTGGTGCGGCGCGGATGTCATCCCAAATGGTCGCGGTTTTTGTGGTGGTCCGTGCAGCTGCTGCCTCCGTGTTGTGCGGACGGTCGACGTAGAGAAGAAAAGTTGGTTTGTATCATATGATTCTTGGAGCATCATGACAACTGCCAACATGAACACGCGAGTACTTTCAAAACCGGAGAGCTCTAGGGAAACCGCATAAAATGTCAACGGGCAAAGAAGATACACCATCACGACGCCGAATCAAGGCTGCAACTTAATTCCAATGAGTGGTCATGATAAAGGGACCAGCGGTACTCTCATCCAACGCGCAAAAAAAAACTCAAAACATATCGGACACGGGGAAGAACGAAGACTCCGCGGGGTCGAGAGACTCTTGCCCCTCCACCCCTGCCAACCGGCAATGGTTTTCCAAGCGAATCCCCCTTCTCCTTGCTGCGGCGGGCCGGCTACCGAAGGAAATAATACCAATCCGACACAACAGATGCTGTTGGCAGACCCCCCAACACACGCAACACACATCCACACGCGCGCGCAAACCAACACGCGCCAACGGTAACAAAGCGAATGCAACGCCGAGTAAGGCATCGGCAACACGCTTTACATTTTCCTGACGTGTCCTACAGGTAAACGGTCTCCTCCACTACGGCGCACTACTACTTTTGTGTCGTTTGCTGGGCCCCGTTTGCTTCTTACGGGGCGGTGGTTGCAGACGCCCCAACTGAACAAGATGGGCGGTCGTCTGGAACGGTGGCGAAGCCTGCCCCCCCCCGCGACGAGAAACGTCCACGTTGTCCAGGGCACGAAACGGCAACGCCAAGCCCTCGGACGTGTGCGCCCCGTTGACGGGTGCCGCCTGGAAGCCGATAGGCGCGGCGCTGGTGGTGTCCGATCCTGCCGGAGGGTGGGACGCTCGGCAAACCCCCGTGGTACCGCTCGGCGAACCCGTAGCGAAACCAGCAGAGTTTACGCCCCCCCCTGCGCGCCCGTGGCCTGTCCCTCCGCCCCTGCCACCGCTTCGCCGGCCTTCGCCGGCACGCCGTTTCCACCGCCACCGCTTCCCTGGCTGCTGCTTCCAGGGTCACCCTTTTCCCCTGCCCGTCCTCTTCCGGTAGACCCCTTTCCCCCCCGGCCGCGCCCCCCCCGACCAGGGTCCCCGGCGTCTCCCTGCGGCAGGGCAGGGGTGGGCCGGGGGAGAGTTCCCGTGAACACCCGGCTCGTTGACTCGTCTCGTAACGACCGCTTCTCCACCTCGATTTGTTGCTTGGCGTGAAGCTTCATGGACTCCATCAAGACTCCATCAAGCGTTGGATGCTCGCCACAGACGGGACCTCTTTGAACATACCACCCAGCTCCTTCCCTAAGGCGACGCCGTTGGCGTACGCGTAGGCCGACAAGTTGGGTCCGGAGTGGGACGACACGATCGGACTGGTGTCGACGGGCGGCATCTGTCCGGTAGGCCCCGCAGGTCCCGTCAGCCCCGCAGCTCCGGTCGATAGCTTGGCAGGCTTAGCGGCCAGCGCTGCCATCGTCCATGGCGTCTCACTGTCACGCCACCTTGGTGAAATGGTTGCTCCGTTGAATTGGGAGGCACGCTAGTACCACAAGGCCTTGATGGCGTGCGGGCAAAGTAGCCCGTAGACGAGCTGCCGCAGGCACGTGCAGAGGAAGAAGCCGTCCGGTCCAAGGGCGACGAGGTGACCGCACTCGGACGCCGTAGACATCGGTGTGATGCGCACCACCGTGTGGACGTTCTGGTCACGAAGTAACTCCGCGAAGTGAGGCACGGATGTGCGGGACACCATGGAGACACCAGCGGCTTCGGACGTCGGTATTGAAGGGTCCACCAACTCTCCGGAGCCGGTGTCGTACGTGAGGTTCGCCTTCGTCGGGTCTGCCACCAACTCCTCGAACAGTCTCCGCGCCGCCTCTTCGTCACGCACGACAGGTATCGCCTCGTAACTGAGAGCCCCGAGGATTTGTGTTTCAGTGTCCTGCCAACACGGCATGCCCATGGGTAAGGGCGGTGTGCGACAGGGGGGGGGGGGGGTTCGGGAGGGAAGTCAGGTTCGGCATTGACATGAATACCAGCAGCGTCGTTGGTGCTGCCCACAAAGACTGATCGCCTTCCACAACTCGAAGGCAAGTACAACTCCATTACATAACCTTGTGCTATACAAGCGGGCACGCAGAAGTCGGGTTGGCGAGTGAAGGAAATGGGGGGAAAAGACACAACTCATGGCCGCGTCGCTGTGACTTTCCTTGGTCAGGCACCGCATCTGAGGGGGGTACGGTTAGGTGTAATGGGGGAGAAAAAATCTGGGTCCGTCCATCGCCGCAAGCGAAGGCCGCCACAACTAACCTCCGTGGCGTGCTGGCTGCACTGCTCGTACTTCACTGCGTTCAGGACGAAGTTGAACGTTCGCAGGTGCTTGGTCCTGAAGCTTTCCACATACGAGTGTCCCTGCACAGCCACTCGGGCGACCGTTCCTCCCAGGTTTCGTCTAGCAAGCACGGGGCACAACGAGCAGAGCACTAAACTTGTCAACCAAACGCGCCACCACACAACATGATGTAGAAATGCCGGCGACTATTAATGTATTGTTACTCTGGTTGGGTTTTGTCCCCGTCATTGCAAAGGATCTCTGGTGTGGGCCGCCTGGGAAGCCTCGAGTCCGTCGTGCATACGCACTACCGACGACATACCACCTCGCGAACGTTGAGTTGACCTCATCCACATGCAACGGGCGTGCTTCCGCGTGGTTGGTCAATTGCTCTTTGTTGTCGAGAGGCGACCTACGAGACACGCACAAAAATTCAAATGCTACCACCTTCAAATGCTACCACCTTCCTTCTGAACAGGTTGCCAGAACTCAACCACGCAATGCGTCGAGGTCACTGGACCATGGGTTGCCTCAGCTGGTGTCGCAAAATATGTACACGCAAATGTCACAACCGGACGCCCACCTTTGGGTCCTGTTGATGTCATCCTGAACCTTGCCTAGGAGCGCTCGGCCGAGGTCGACCATGTCGCCCTTCCTGGTCACCAGCTTCTTCACCGCAGCATTCATCGACTCAACACGCTGCGTGGAGGCAATGCCGAGAGTGTGCAGCCCAGGGTGGACGTACGACGCCCATTTGCCAGCCCGCCTGTCACACGTTACGGGACGGCTCAAACTTAGTGGGCACGAGACGGACGACGTCACCAACTGACGGAACCTTCAAACAGAATAAACAGGAGAAAGGCATCGTCGACGGAGGAGGAGCAAGACGTCACGCGTCCGTGGCCTACTTAGCATCGGCTGTCATTCTAGTCGGTGCTTACCCTGTGCCGAAGATGTTCTTCTCCATGTACTCGTACATCTTGCTCTCCGGGGGCAAGAGGTCGAGGAGCGCCCCTTTACATTGCAGGAAATACTGCGAGAGTGACAAGTAATGGAGCACGCGACGGGATGAAAGAAAATGGACCGGGAGAAAGAAGGTGCCAAGGACCTTTCGTATGAAATAGACAAAACAAGGAGAGCGGGCCGTTGGGTGTAGCCGCACGCGGCGGCGACGATTCCCGCGCTTCTACGATCGCAGCTCTCTCAAGCGTTGGACAACACGGCCTACACCTGCAAGTGGAAGATCCGTGCGGAACATCACCCACGAAAAAAATGATTCAATGTCCAACCAAGATGGCTCACCTCCTCCGTTTGCGCGTACGCCGCTGCCTTGAAAAGTTGAAGAACCTGACCCAGGACACCCTTCTCAAGACCCCCCCCATGCTCCCGGATGTTCCCCATGGTGTGCCAGATGCACAACTTGTTCAGGGCCGATGGATAGACCTTCGCGATTGCCAACATCGCGGCTGCGTCACAGTCAGTGAAGACCACCTTATTCAACATTCGAGCACAGTAGACCGGAGGAAGTTCACCGCATGATCATGTCGTGTTCAACTAAATCGCGTTCAGTTCCTTTATTCTAACATTGACTGGCGCCATTTATGGGCGAGTGCATACTGTATTGCCTTGTCATACTTTGTTTTACCTCCGGGGTTCCTCCTTCGCAGAGCTGCTTGAACGACTCGAAGACGAACTCGAAGGATTCCGACCGCTCGTCTGACAGCAGAGCTTGCATCGCAATCTGGCTGTGGTTCTCCTTGTCCACCACGACTATCAATGCAAGATGGAACTTGTATCTGGTTGGAGGAGGCGTGGCACAACAAGCACAAGAAATGGACATGGCGTGCATGAGATCGTGGAGAAGGGACGTGGCATGCGTGAGATGGTGGAGAAGAAGATACCGTCGACACTTTTCTCGACAACAGTATTGCCCCCACAACTTGGGGTGCCAAGGGACTTGAACAAAGAGCGTCTAACACTACACTCACATGTTCGTGTTGAACGTGTTGTCCTGGACGATGACGGAGTGGTATCGTACGGCGTTGTACTTCTGCTGCTGATATGCCCAGGCGATGGACGTGATGCGGCCCTGCTCGTCTGCCTTGAACCTCATGAAAGCCTCGCTCTGCTGGAGGTGCGAAACGAACAGCTGGGCGTCGTTGAACACTCCGTTGTCGGCCTTACGTTCTGCGTCGAACGCATCCCTCATGCTTCGCACCTAACGGAAACATGGACAACCCGGCAGTGAACTCGGTTAGGGTGTACTCGGACGAAAGCATGCAGACGAAACAAGAATGGTTTCAACGAAAATGCCGCCGGTTACATAATTCGTCATCACCCCACTTTTGGGCTACCCCCCGTTCCTCCCGTGGGTTTTTGTCGCTCGGCAACACGCCGATGGCTTTGTGAGCTCGACAAAAAGGTTGCCACTTTTTGTCGCCTTGGTGTTTGTTAGCGGCAAACATGATGGTGGTCGAGTACATCATGGTGTGCGGGGTGGACAACCTTCACTCTGCGCAAAGGGGATGGTGGCACCACTTTCTGTTGAATTGGTCGAGCACCCTCAACGTATTGACACTGTCCTTACTGCTGTCTCTGGAAGAGTGCAGCACGAAAACAAATTCAGGGTTACTCGCAGCTGTCATCCTTAGCCCAACACGCCGCACACCCAGCAGGATGTAGCGGCACGCCCCATGCGACTCGGCGAATACCTCACGGTGCTTCGCGCTTGGTGATGTCACAGACTGGTCCGGTGACAAGCCGGCATGATTCCGTCCCGGCTTTGTAGGGATGCCATGTCACCGGTCTAACGACTGCGGCATGCACGGCGATGAGTACTCCCCCCTCCCCCCCCCGTCGCGCCGTCTAGGTAGCGTTTACTACCGCAAACTACACTCTCGCCCACTCACCTTTTGCTTTCCGGCTCTCCCCAGCCTCTTTCCGATGTCCTCGAAAGCCTTGTGGATCTCTATCGTTGGCAAATTTTTGAAGTGTAGCAGACGGATGAGTTCGGATTCCTTCTCGATGTCCTCCTCGCTCACGTCGTTTTCGTAGCGTCGTGGGCGCTCGTGCTCCATTCCGGCTGAATCTGGATCGGGGGTAAGATGCGCGAGGCAAACCTTTCCCTGCGCATCCGGTATCGGGAGGCAAGCGAAGCAGTGTCAACAGTACGCACATGATCGCAAGGTCTCCATGTTCAAACAAGCGGGTGCGCTCCTGTCATACCTCAGGCTACGCGCAGTTGATTTGGTAAGGTGCAGTCGGCAGTGATGTCCGGGGACGGACCCCTCGCCATGCGGTGCTGGCAAAATATATCAAGGGTGCCTCCTGAGTCCAAAGCGTCAGAGCTGGGATTCGAACCCGCGTGAACATCATTTGTTAAGAATGTCTAGCTTTGGGCTGCCTACATTAACGCATCCAACGCGATCTATCCATTGTACCGACGTACTTCCCCTCAACTTAACTCACCTTTGCAACTTGCGGTGTATACATGTCGGCCCCCCACCACAGCCCCAAGTGGAACTCGCAACCCACCTGGGATTCGGACAGGGTATAAACAACACGACAGTGTTGTGAGGGTACAGAAGAAATATGTGTGTCCGCGCGAAGAGCGATGGCCATTTAGCGTTACGCCATTTGCGTTCCATGCGTTTCATACGCACGAAGACAAACCGCACACACACACACATACACACGGGAGGTGGACTCACCTACGTCCCTTGTTGCGGTGCTTTCCTCGACAACTACAGCGCAGAGGGTGCGCAACCAGCAAGCAAGCAACAACAGAAAAGCCAACAAATTTGCCGGAAGAACGCGTTGGAGCATCGCCCGCACAACGGAGACCACAGCGAAGAGGTGCGGCCGCCGTGCGACCAACAAAAGGTCCTGACCCGGCACACAACTACTCCTTGCGTCGACGCTCGCGTTTTCGAGCGCTTCATATTGCAGAGAAGAGGGGGACTACAGCGCAGCAGCTCAGAACGTTCAACCGCGGACGATGTCCCGAAAAGTCCATGTATGCAGCGATCATGTTCAATCGGCGCCAAAAAGAAATGAAGTTCAACAACAAAGCGCGCCCAATGTCCATTTCCCATCGCGACTCCTCCGTTGACTTGTCAGATGACTCGTCACCCGACGCGCTAAAAAGAGGAGCCGAGACACAACGGTGGCGAGAGCTCAACATCGGGAGCTCCACATCGGTTCGTACTTCAGGCAGACAAACCTTCTGTGACTTTGTGTTGCGGCGAGCGCTCGGATCCGCGACACGTTGACACGCTCTCGGCTTCCCCCCCTGGCAGCACTTGATCCATACGGAGCTCCATCTGTTTCGCATGCGGGAGTTCTTTTCCTGCTTTTTCGTGAAAAGCTGGAGGGGGGCGGCGGCAACACATTCAGATGTCAGCAGCCGTCGGATGTCCAACATTAGAGGCTGCGCATGTCGCTAATCATAAGGCGATTACGGTGGACGAGACGAAAAAGCCGAGCCCACAGGCATCTTTCGCACACACCAACAACACATGGAAACACGCAACGTCACCTTTGTTTTATTCTCTCTCTTCAGGCTGAAGCCGCGTCCGGTCTTCGCCATCAACATCGCGACTGCGTTGTCCATGGTTTTCTCCCCAAGTTGCCGGTCCCGTCTTCGAGGTTGGGGAACTCTAGTTTCTTTATCTCTTCTTCAAGGGTCGCGATCTCCCCTGTGCAAGCGAGTCAAACCCAGGTGCGCGCGGGTGAAAACATCGGAGCACGCGGATGAGTAACGTACCAACAAAACAACGTACCAACAACACGGCGAACCAACCTGCCATACCCATACGTTTATAGCCTGCCATACCTAGAGATGGGTCCCAGAGGCCTGCACCACCTGCAGGCGAGGGCTCGTCATCGCTATCTTCGCCTTCGGCGGCGTCGAAAGGAAGCCCAGCAGCTTCCTCCTCCCCACCAACATCGAGCGTCTCGTCCTCGCTACAAGCCAGCACCTCCTCCAGCTGCCAAGAGCTTGCCTCAGCCGCAGCGGAATCAACCTCCATCTGCTGTCGTAGACTGGTATGAGGCTGGTGTGAGCTGCTGAAGGGAACGCCGCTACTATCGCGTTGGCCGCCAGCCGTTGTTGCTGCGGCGGTGTGACCCGTTCAATTCAAATGAGGCGTTGTAGGGTGTGGTTCTGGGAGGCGTTTTCCAGCTGGAGAACCTTTTTATCTCGCCAGCTTTGGCGTATGCACGACCGGCGGCAGTTGGGCGTGGAAGGCACAAAAGTTTGGGGCACGGTCTAAAGAATTGTTCATGTTCATGAGCCGTATGAACGGTTGAGTGAAGAGAACATGAGGCGCGCGGCGTTGCGGCGTTTAACTTCTTTTTTTTTGTTCCTCCCGTTCCCTTGTTCCCTTTGGCGGTGCTTCCGTGCGTGTCTGTGTTTTTATTGTTGGGCTAACTGGCGTGTCTTATGTATGTCTCTGTTTTGTGGGGAACTCCACCCATTTTGTGGCTATTAGTGTATGGATGTGCGTTTCTTCATTTGGGCACGCCATTTGTTTGCGAAAACACCGCGTAGTGTGACGCACGATGATGAGCGGTGGGTGTATCTTCCTTTTTTGATGTATGCATACCGGTAAGCGTGTTCTAGAAGAAGTACCACGGTACATCAGAGAACAACACACCAGAGAAGGAAGTCAAGCGAGGTGTTGAATTCGAACAGGGAGATTTTTAAATACTACTCCTCCTGTCAATAGGCGGACATGGTGCAGGAAGCATAGTCCTTGCACTTAAGGTTCAAGTAAGGTTCTCAGAAACCAAAAACACCCATGCATGGATGGCGTGTGCGTTCATCGTTACATTAGTTTGTCGCGAAACAGGGGGTTTGCAAACGTGTGTCTGGATGTGCTTGTTGGCTACCATCTTCTCGCTACTAATATTTTAGACTGCTGTGTCAAGTCAGCTACCCGACGGCAGCAGCAGGTGACAACCCATTTTCATGCCAAGAGGGACGACAGAGAGAGCTGATCGATCTGGATGGCCGCCCCGCCCCAGCCCGGCCAGCATGCGAAGTAGGGTAGGAGTTAGATGAACGCAGGCCAATCAAATCCGGTAGCAGCTCTATTCTCGACGTTCTTATCCCCCGCTTACAGATGACGGCCGTGCGAAGTTCCCTTGCCATCTCAAACGTGAGAAGTACTTCGTGATTTCGTGATTTAAGTGCGGGTCCGCCCCCGCGCTTTTTCGTGTCTCCTGGTCTGGCGTGACGCCTGATTTTAGGGGAACCCACGTCTTCAGTAGTAGTATCGGGCTTCGTTGACTGGTAGGGGCATGGAAGTGCGGGCCGCATGAAACATGACACATCTCCGTTGTGCATGTACTGCGGCATGACCGCCCGCATCATGATGACGGCCCGCCGTCGTTGTTCGTCGTTCTCATGATCTCATGATTCATGATTCATGACACGGCGGTATGCAACAAGCCATTGGCATGCTACGGTGGCAGGTAGTTCTACCGGTAGTCTTGATGCATACCATCGTGCACTTCGCACTCACAGCAGTTTGTTCTTTCGTTCGGAGTAATTGTTGCGTGTAACAACGTATGTATGCATGTATGTGTACAGCAGCAGCAATGTCATCATGTATGTGTCGGTCGTCACGCAGCGTTGTTACCTGTGGGGTGCGCGAGCATGAGGAATGATCATCATCATGATGATGATGATGACTCGAGGGGGGTTGTTTGTGTGGTGCTGCAGCACGTACATGCACGTGGAACGTGGAGCCACGTGGCGCACCGAAGAGGGGGGTAGAGCGAGAGAGAGGGGCACGCAACACGTGGACTGCTGTTGTTGTTGTAGTACCCGTGCCAACCAAATAAATGACGCCGATAGATGATTGGTGGTAGTGGTGGTGGTATTTGGTGGTTGGCGGAGGTTTGAAAAACTCGATCGACGAAAAAAACAGTGCAGGCCGCTGCCGCCGTCTGCGCGGTGGGCACGGAATTATTTTCTTGCCATCCATCATGCGCGCTGGGCGAGAGGCTTTCGCCTTATTATCCGCCGACCAAAGAATCTATACCATGTGCAAGGCAGACATTGTAAGACTTCTCATTCTTCATCATCCTGTTGTCGTTAGGAGGAGTAGAAACCCTCTCTCGGGCTGTTGTCCTCTCGTTGTTGCAACATGAACGAACACAACAATCAAAGATCTCGTCGAAGCGCAAATAAATAACAGAACACTTCTCGCGGTTCTTTCATGCCATCATCATCATGGCTTTATCTGATCTGCGGTTCAGAGCAGCTGGATGGATCACGAGGGAAACAAGCGGCGGATACAGAGAGGCTGCCCTGCCCGGCGCGATCCCGTGTGAATGAATGGTGATGGTCTGGCACCCGGCTGACACACCAGTGGTCCACACCAAAGGCCACAGACAGGGAGGGTTGTTGTATTTCCACCACGCATGATGAATGCATCATTGATTCAATATCGGTCTGCTGTGCAGGAACAAACACCACAGGACTGCTGATGATGATGATGTAAAAAGTCCGGTTGGTCTCGTTGTCCCTCAAAACCCACTGGCTCTTTTGACGCGGTCTCCTATCATGTATGTGCATACCGCCGTATATGAAACAAGATAACACACCCCCTGGACCGATTTTCAAAGCTCGATTACTCCACGACGAAGAGGATGCATAAATGAAACAATACGTTTTCGAACAGCTCTCGACGAGAAGGCTCCAACGCCGCCGTTTTCGGCGCTGTGACTCTTCCTGCTGTTGAGAAATCGAGCTTTGAAAATCGGCCAAGGGGGTGTGTTATCTTGTGTCATATACGGTATGTTGTAGATATGATATGCATATGATACCTCGCGCTCTCTTCCTCTCTGTGTGCCTTTCTTTTTACCCGTCAGGCAAACAATGCGGCCACTGGTCGTGCGTGAGCCGAGGGTGACTTGCGACGGGTAGCACGAACATCACCTCTCGAAGACCACCTAGGCCTCTTGTGGTAAAAAGCCTACACACCACATATTATATATATTCTAGCACGCGGGCAGCCGGTACACATGCAACATGTACTCCTGTCCGCTCGGTGTGTGGGGTGTCTCAAGACGCCAGATTTTTCGTTGTCATGTTCCGCATTATTACGCATGTATGTATGGACAACATGCGTGTTGTCACAGAACACGGAACGACAAATGTCGTGCGAAATGTGTACGCTGCGCTGTCTACAGTAACACGCTGGCCCCGCCACAGCAGCAGCATTCAGTTCTCGGCATCATCATCACACGCTGCACAACAACCCTTCCCGTCGTCTCGCAAATCGCACGCAGCAGCAGCAGCAGCAGCTGCAGCAAAGCAGTTTGTGCCGGAAAACTCGCGTTTGGTTCCTATTTTCTTCCTCCGTCTTGAGACCACCAAATTATCCAACCGTGCTCTCTCTCCGTCATCTTCTTCTTTTTACCCTACCCGCCGATTTCCTTGCGGAACAGACCCTTGTGCATTCCACACGAACCACCAGCACGAAAAACAACTTGGAAATAGAGAGATCGGTCTATAAAAAAAGAATAGTTCCAGAATTGGATTTGGCGTCGTCATGAGGACCGAGCATGTTTTTTTTTCAAGTTGACCCCACAAGTTCACAAACACCCACACGACTGGTCTCGCCTTCTTCCTCCGCTACGCCCACGCCAGACGACACAGAGAGAGAGAGAGAAACAGACTACCGATTGGCGACCGAGAGAGACACACCAATCACGAAGACCTCCGAGCTAGCGGCAGCCATGACCGCCCTGATCGCTGACACGTGAGTTTTTTTGCTCTTGTTCTCTCGCCCGCGAACAAACGAACGGCTTTTCCAAAGCGCTGCTGCTGCTGCTGCTGCTGCTGCCAATTTTTCTGCTGCTTTTTCGGCTCGGAGTTCGTTGGCTGCCTTTTTTTGACTTGGAAAGAGAGAGGCGGGTGGGTTGTTTTGAATTTTTGGCCTGCCCGGCGGGTAAAACTAATCGCGCCGAATTCCGCGAAGGGCTCGACCCCCGACCCCCGATCCGAGCGACACCAAGCGAACAAACACCCCCGGGACATGTGCAGAGCGTGTGGGTTATTTTGTGGCCACCGGTTTGGGCCGTGGGAGATTTCTCGTTTGGCCGGTGTTCCGTTCCGACTGATGGAGAGAAAAACGGGGGTATTCACCTAAAAAGCCTTCCCATAAATCTCGTCACACCACGCTTTCTTCTCCGCCAACGCCCGCGCCGAGCCGTCGCGCCCGGCCGCCCGCCGCCGGCACCACGCTCACGGGCAGATCTCTGGGGTGGGGTATCCTTGCTCGTGCGGTAGATCGTAGCTAAGTGCGGGGTCCTGCACCCGCCGTTTGGGTGGATCATGTTTGGACTCATGATCACTGGACAGGGTGAGACATGACATGCCCTCTTATTTTCTCTTTTTCCTCGTCACGTCTCGATTTCGTAATTTTTCCGCAGCTGCAAACGCCCTTTCGCCCGGCCCCCGGCCTCGCCCCCGCGCTCACCCCCTGCCTCCCCCCTTCCCCCCGTGCCCGCTCTCCCCCTCCTCAGGTCGCCGATACTCAGAAATATACCCTCCGATCCTGCGGATCGCCGCTCGTTCGAATTCTCGCCGAGCCCCATGCCCGCCCAGTACCTCTCCGAAGGTACGGCAAGCCAAGATCACCGCCGCCACTCCCCGAGCCCTCACAGCTACACCGCCAGGGAGGTGCCCGCCCTTTACCCCCACCGCTACGGGTACAACATGGGGGGATCCTTCGCGCACTCGGATCCCCAGGTGCCGGTGGCGGTGGAGAAGCAGCAGCAGCAGCAGCAGCTGGCGTTCAAGTCGTCGTCCTCTTGCCGATGCCAGCAACGCCAGTGCTCTTGCAACAGCTCTTCTTCAAAAACAGCTCAGAAGGATTCTTCGTCTTCCGAACCTCCGCACGCCATGTGGCGCAACAGCAAGGGCGGCGACGCCAACATGACAACGGCAAGGCCGGGCCTCTTCCACGGGGAGGCCCCCGCCCAGCAGCCGCCCGCCGCGGTGTCGGTGTCGGCG